CCGGAATTAAACCAACCACCCCAGCGAGTCACATTACAACAAGTGGGCATAGAATAAGCAATAAATGGGGCAACGAGGCTACAATATTCTAAACGACCGGCGGAGTCATTAAATTCTTTCCCTTTTAAACAAACATTTGTCCTTAAACAGGTCTAGAATCGTACCCGGAGTCTAAAATAGGCATGAGTATCTGCTCTGCATCTCCTTCTCGGCCTCCCAAGTAGCCTCCTTGGCTGGCTGACTTCTCCACTGCACCTTCACCAAAGCTATATTCTTTGACCTTAACTTTCAAACCTGCCGATCCAAAATGGCCACCAGCTTCACATCATAAGTTAAATCACCATCTAACTGAACCGTGCTAAAGTCTAAAACATGAGACAGATCACTGAAATACTTTCGGAGCATGGAGACATGGAACATTGGATGAACACTCGATAGACTAGGTAGCAATGCAAGCTTGTAAGCCACTTCTCCAATCCTCTCAAGCACATCAAAAGGACCAATATACCCAGGGCTCAACTTGCCCTTATTTCCAAACCTTATATCACCCTTCATGGGTGAAACTCTGAGCAATACTTTCTCTTTCACCATGTAAGCAACATCACAAACCTTCCGATCGGCTTAACTCTTTTGTCTAGACTATGCCGTGCAAAGCCGATCCTGAATCAACTTAACCTTTTCCAAAGCATCCTAAACCAAGTTAGTACCAAATAGCCTAGCCTCACCCGGCTCAAACCAACCAACTGGAGATCGACATCGTCTTCCATACAAGTCCTTATACGGAGCATATAAATACTTGGTTGGTAGTTGTTGTTGTAGGAAACTCTACAAGCTGTAAAAACTAATCCCAAGAACCCCTGAAATCCACGACACAAGTGCATAGCATATCCTCCAATATCTGAATAGATCACTCGGACTGTCCGTTCATCTAAGGTTGGAATGTTGTACCCAACTCAACTCATGTGCCTAATTCTCACCGCACCTCTTTCCAAAACTGCAATGTGAACTACATGCCTCGATCTAAAATGATGGACACCGACATGCCGTGAAGGCGAACAATCTCGCGGATATAGATTTCAACCAACCTCTCTGAAGAATAGTTAGTCCCAACTGGAATGAAATGCGCTGAGTTAGTCAGCCGGTCCACAATCACAAAAATAACATCAAATTTCCCCAAAGTCCACGGGAGCCCAACTACGAAATCCATGGTGATATACTCCCATTTCCACTTAGGAATCTCAAGGCTTCGAAGAAGACCGGCCGACCTCTGATGCTCGTACTTCACCTACTGACAATTCAAGCATCGAGCTACAAACTCCACTATGTTTTTCTTCATCCTCCTCCACCAATAGTGCTTTCTCAAGTCATGGTACATATTTGCGGCACCCGGATGAATGAAATATCGGGAACTGTGGGTCTCCTTAAGAATCAACTCTTATAGCCCATCCACATTAGGCACACAAATCCTACCCTGCATCCGCAACACCCCATCATCCCCAATAGAAACCTCTTTGATGTCACCATGTTGTACAATGTACTTAAGGACAAGAAAATGGGGCTCGTCCTACTGACGCTCTCTGATGAGATCATATAAAGAAGACCGAGAAACCACACAAGCTAGAACCCAACTAGTCTCCGAAACATCTAACCTCACGAACTGATTGGTCAAGGCCTGAACATATGGTGCAACATGTCTCTCACAAATAGGAATAAATGCAACGCTACCCATACTTATCGCCTTCCTACTCAAGGCATCGACCACCTAATTGGCCTTTCCAGGATGATACAAAATGATAATATCATAGTCCTTTAGCAGCTCCAACCATACCCGTTGCCTCAAATTTAGATCCTTTTTCTTGAAAAAGTGATGAAGACTCTAATGATCCGTAAATACCTCAAAAGACATACCGTAGAGATAATGCCTCCAAATCATCAATGCATGAACGATGGATACCAACTTTAAATCATGAACGAGGTAATTTTTCTCATGAGGCTTCAACTGGCATGAAGCATAAGCAATCACTCTACCCTACTGCATCAAGACACACCCAATACCAATATGAGAAACATCACAATACATTGTATAAGAACACATGTTAAAGGAAAAACTAGAACTGGAGTTGTGGTCAAGGCAGTCTTGAGCTTCTGAAAGCTCTCTTCATACTCGTTCGACCACATGAGTGGAGCACCCTTCTAGATCAACCTGGTCAACGACGCTACAATGGATGAGAAACCCTCTACGAAGCGAGGATAATATCTGGCCAATCCAAGAAAACTCCGAATATCAGTAGCTGAAGACGGACTAGGCCAACTCTAAACCGCCTCAGTCTTCATCGGATCCACCTTAATTCCCTCGCTAGAAACCACGTGCCCCAAGAACGCCACCGAACTGAGCCAAAACTCTCAGTTGGAGAACTTGGCATAAAGCTTCTTCTCCCTTTACCTCTATAGTACAATCCTCAGATGATGTGCGTGCTCTTCGTGGATACGTGAGTACACCAGGATATCATCAATAAATATTATCACAAATGAATCAAGATATGGTTGGAACACACTATTCACCAGATGCATGAATGTTGATGGGGTATTGGTCAACCCAAAAGATATCAAAAGGAACACATAGTGATCATAGCGGGTCCTAAATGTCGTCTTTAGAATATCCAAGTCCCAAATCTTCAACTAGTGATGCCCAGATCTCAAATCAATCTTAGAGAACACTCTCATTCCCTGAAGCTGGTCAAATAAGTCATCAATGTGCGGCAAAGGATACTTGTTCTTAATTTTAACTTTGTTCAACTGCCTATAGTCAATGCATATCTGCATAGTACCATCTTTCTTCTTCACAAACAGAAGCGATGAACCCCTAGGCGACACACTAGGCCTAATGAACCCTTTATAAAGAAGCTCTTAAAGTTGCTCTTTCAATTCCTTCAGCTCTGCTGGTGCCATACATGTGAAAGAAGAATAGAAATGGGCTAAGTGCCCGACACCAACTGAATACCAAAATCAATGTCCCTGTCGAGTGGCATGCCCGGTAGGTCTGCATAAAACACATCCAAGTAGTCTCACACAACCGAAATAGAATCAATAGTAAGAGTGTAAACACCAACATCCCTAACAAAAGCCAAATATGACAAACACTCATTCCCAACCATCTGTTAGGCCTTCAACTATGAAATCACCCTATTGGGAACATAGTCTAGAGAACCTCTCCACTCGATAGATGGTGAGGACAAATATGACCAGATCGGGCGGACGACCGCCAGTACCACCAGCTAGGGCTGCAAGAGGCTAGGTATGTGGTAGAGGTCGAGGTGCAGCTCGTACAGCAGCTAGAGAAGCACCCATGGAGCCACCAATTGCTCTAGCTTAGGAGAAGATACCAGATGTGGTTGACTCGGTGGGACCAACTCAGGCACCAGCTGTGCCCATTGTGATTCCAGGCCTTCATGAGGCTCTGGCCCAAATATTAACTGTATGCACTAGCCTTTCTCAGGCCATTTCTAACCCCGACATCGCCAATGTCACCGTCTTAGCATGACAATTTAGAATAGCACGACATGGAGACAACCAATCCATACCTAGAATCATGCAAACTCAACCATACTAAGAAATAAGAGATCAACTGTCAACTCCAATCCCCCAATGGACACCACACATGAACGATACACACGCTCCACGATAATAGAATCGCCCACCGGCTCAGATATATGAACATGCGAAACTAAGGACTCACAGGGCATATCCAAATAACGAGCAAAATATGATGATACATATGAATAAGTAGAACCAAGGTCAAATAATATAGAAGCATCCCTGGGACATACTTAGACAATATTGTGATCACCTGATCGGCCTCTACTTGGCAGGGAACGCATAACATCGAGCTTAATCGCCTCCTGATCGACCTCACTCTCTAGGGCGACCTTTAGCTTCTTGAGCCCTACCCTGAGCTAGCTGAGCAGGTGGTGAAGTAACTGGTGTTGAGGTCATAACCTGACCCCTCTACTGAATTGGACCTCCCAAGAAACAGGGACAATACTTCCTCACATGTCCAAAATCACCACACTCATAGCAACTCCAATCCGTCAATAGTAGTGGAGACTGAATCGGGCCCCGAGAACTAGAATAGCTACTAAAAGAACCTGGGACAGATAAACCCTGAACTTATAGAGCATAAGAAGAACTCTGAGCTGGGAGGGCACTAAGAGATGATTGACCCGAACGGGCACTGAATGAACCATGGCTATCTGATGCAGCATGATGAACCAGACGAGTCACCTGAGAGGGTCTATAAGGATGACCCCTGCTATGGTGGGACTGCCATCCAAAAGGGACACCACTAAAACCACTCAAACCGCGAGGACTCTTGGCCTCTCTCTCCTCACGCTCCTGACTGAGGACCTGCTCTTGCAGCATAGCAATATCAACTACTTCGTCGAACCTAGCACCCGATGCAATCTCCCGAGTCATGACAAAGTGTAGTCCATAGTGTAGGCCATCAATGAACCTCCTAATCCTCTTCTTCTTTATGGGGACTAACCAGATCACGTGACGAGACAACACTAAATATCTCATCTCATATTGCGTCACGGACATACCCTCCTGGCGTAGCTGCTCAAACTGCCTACGTAACTCCCCCCTATGGGTCTATGGAACAAACTTCTCCACGAAGATAACGGAGAACTCGTGCCACGTAAGTGGTGTAACACCAGCTGGTATGTTCAACTCATAAGCCGCTCACCATTTAAAGGCTGCCCCTGACAGCTGAAAAGTAGCAGTTGAGACTCCACTAGTCTCCAAAATACCCGCCGTGTGAAGAATTCACTGGCACCTGTATGAGAAGTCATGATCATCCTTAGACTTATCCCTACTGAATGATGGAGGCATGAGCCTCCCAAACCTCTCTAACCTCTCCTGCTCCTTGTCACTCATCGGTGGGTCCACCTAGGCCTGAACAGCTGCAATCGGCTGGGCTAGTAGGGCGATGTCTAAAGCCCCTAAACTGCCTGCTCTAGAGTACGGGCATCGAGAGATTGAGCACCTCCCCTGGCCTGAGAAGTGGCTAGCGTGGTCGGAACTGAAACCACCTGAGCAAGGCTAGTGCATGCAGTCAGTATTTGGGCCAGAGCATCCTAAAGGTCTGGAATCACAATGGGCACAGCTGGTCCTGAGCTGGTCCTATCGGCTCAACCCCATCTAGGATCTGCTTTATAACTGGAGCAAGTGGTAGATCTGTAGGTGCTGGTGGCTGTCTACCCGGCCCGGTAGCACGTTTTCTCACCATCTAAGAGAGAATAAAATAATAGAAGTTTAGTTTTCGAAATCAACAAATCCGCACGACAAGAATACAAGAAAATGAAGTTTTCCTAAGGGTCTTGTAGCCTCTCGAACATAAGTACAAAAGTCTTCGTATCGATCCAAAAGACTCTACTAAACCTGCTTATTACTCGTGAGACCTATGTAACATAGGCTTTGGTACCAACTTGTCATGACCCAAAATCACACATGTCGTGATGGTGTCTATCGTAATACCAGGCAAGCCGACAAAATCGACCAAAAATTGCTTACCTCTTGAAATCTAGTTAACCCCTCTCAAAAATCGCATCCAACCGAGTTTGCAAAGTCCAAAAATAAGAAAAACTTCAAAACCATTTGAATTAATACACTACCAAGGATCTCGCACCTACGAGCCAAAAATCTGCTTATACAGGACCGCATCTGCGGTGAACTTTCCGCACATGTGGAGCTCACTTAAGTCCTTACACTCTTCACCTGCACCCCCAAGTCCGCATCTGCGCCCAAACGTCCACTTCTACGGAAGAAATTGAACATTGCAACCTCACTTCCGCAGGAGCGACTCCTCTTCTACGGACCAGTTCTTGCACCTGCGATTCAACAACCCCCAGCTCACCTTCACACCTGTGCATCACCAGCCGCACATGTGGCCACTCCTTTCGCTAGTGCGAAGGAACCAGACATCAATAGCTTCAACCAATCTCCTAAGTCAAATTTCAATCTGTTATCCGTCCGAAATCCATCCCAGACCCCCGGAACCTCAACCAAACATATCAACAAGTCCTAAAATACGATAGGAACTTAGTCAAGACCTCAAATCACTTTAAACAATAACAAAAATACGAATCGCATTCCAATTCAAGCCTAATGAAACTAATGAGTTTCCAACTTCTACACTTGTTGCCGAAACCTACCGAACCAACTGCGATTGACCTCAAATTTTGCACACAAGTCATAAATGACACAACAGACCTATTCCAACTTCTAGAACCAAAATCTGATCCCGATAACCACCATCTCAACTCTCGGTCAAACCTCTCAACTCTTAAAACTTCAACTTTTTCATCTTTTACCAATTCAAGCCGAAATCATCTACGGATCTCAAAATCAACATCCTGGAGCACTCCTACGCCAAAATCACCATACGGAGTTATCGTAACCATCAAAACTCCGTTCCAGAGTCACACACACATAAGTCTATATCCGGGAAACTCTTTCAACTTAGGCTTCCAACCTTGGGACTATGTGTCCCAACTCATTCCGAAACACCCCCGAAACTAAACCAACCACCCCAGCAAGCCACATAACAATAAGTGGTCATAGAATAAGCAATAAATGAGGGAACAGGGCTATAATACTCAAAACGGCCGGCCGGATCGTTACAATAATAAAGTTTTGCAATTACTCCATCACAGGAGAAAATGTTCAACTCTTTCTATCCTCAAAGGTTTTCAACACTTGATGTAATTCAACATCTCCTTCCTGAATCATCCTTTTATTTTCTCTCTATATATATATAAAAAGCTAACACGATAATCAAATTCTCTCTAGGTTGATGATAATGCTTCTCCATCAGTTTCTAAGTATGTCCTTAATACTCTTGAAATTTGCAGTTGTGTTTGAGCAAGCTGTTGGCACCAAGTCCTCTTTTAAGTATATCACTAACATTGAAAAGTTCTAATGCACAATAAAGACACCAGAAAGCTGAATCAAGAAAGGTTTTATTTTACCTATGATAAAATATTAGTAATTTCGGTATTTTACCTATGATAAAATATTAGTAATTTCGGTATTTATCAATTCACAATGTGGAGTCTTTTATCAGACTCGAGCATGCAATTTAGGTGCCATTGTGGTGGAATGTCATATAGGATAGTGGGGGACTGATATTCTTTTAATTACTATCTTTTAGGAGACTGATATTTTTTGTGCAACTGAACTCCATCCTACATCTTTTAAATTTATCACCCTATTCTTTTTTTGTACCTTCTTTTATAGGAGACTGAATCATCTTTATGCAACTGTACATCATCCTAGATTTCTTTTATTGATTATTCTGGTCCATTTTCTTTGAAATAGTATTTCTACTATGCTTATATTGTGATTGCAAGCTGTTGATCATGTTCCTCGAATCTTATTATGTACAATGGCACTCATCTTGATTGTTACTAACATTATACATAAAAAATTATGGTTTGAATCACATATTCATTTGTTAGATTAATTTTTAAGTATTGGATATAAATGATCACACCTTACTGCTTATCCATCTTATAAATTTGAAGGTTGTTGTCTACATGATCTGAACTGTTTAATCAAATATCGGACATGTGCATTGCACGGGCTTTCATTTCTAGTACAAGTAGCTAATACATATTTCATAAATATACAAGACTAGAAGACCTAGACTTGTTTAGTCTCACCAGGTCCCCCATAGAGTACAAAATGTTGACGCTCTGCAGCTTGCCAATGAGGTATATCAACAACCCTGTATAAATTAGGATTGTCTGCATATGCGGTAGTTTTATCTTCATCTATGGTTTTACCTTTATCATTTAGAATTGTAATCTGTCTACAATAAGCTTCATGACCTGTGTTTCCAATGGGAAAAAGTCCGGAGCCCATTGGGGGTCCAGGAACACCTGATGGACTATATGCTACTCCTCCCCACTCAACATTTGTAGCAAAGCTTTTTAAATCAGTGAAGATCCTCTGAGGCCAAAATCCAATTTGTTTATAGTCCTCTTCAAGCAAGAGCCACCAATTCCCGTTGACTAAATCCTTTTATTTTTAATAACAAGTGTCTATGTTAGTATTTTTGTGTATACAATAAAAGATTTTATGGAAACTTAATAAAAGAAAGATAAAGTGTACCCGATCGATGGACATGGTGTCCTCCCATGAATCTTCTCCAATTTGTGAAATAGTATCGTATACCTTATCAATAGGTACCTTAGTGTTCACCAATACAAAGCCAGAGCATAGTGTATTGAAGCAATGCATTTTACCAGCCTATTTATAAAAAATTCTCTTAACATAAGTTATGAAAATTAAGGTACATAGATAAACCAATTTGTATGCACTTGATAATAAAATCATAGGAGTATATTTAGATATTTAACTTACCTGAAAATGAATAAAGAGCCTAGTTTTAGTATCCCCGTAAAGTGTTGGATCCACCTAGAGCACGAAATAAAGTTATCATAATAATTGAGTGGAAGCTCATTGATAATAGAGTATAGTATATAGTATATATTCAAAACTTATCACATTGTCTTTTCCTTTATTCTTCTAACCCTACTCTACTCAAAAGAATTAAATCACTTAAAAAGAAATAATTATGATAAATCGAAAAGAAAATAATTAATTTTATAGTATAAGTATTGAACTTACTCTCCATCCAACTTGTACAACATCTGACCCTTTTTGAATTTTTAATCGACTTGCACTATGTTGCTGACCTTCAACGTGAGGATTCCATAAACTCGTTGCCATTGTTGCTCCCGCAAACTTATTGTTTGGATCATTTTGAGTTCGAGCTATTGCAACCTGAATATAGTAATTAATTCATGGTAAAACTAAGTGCATCCAAATTTAGCATGTACATATTTGCCTGAAATCTTAATTTTTCTTTTACAGCAAACAATGAGGGGCAAAGGTCAGAGTGAGAAATTAAAAGAGAGCTTGAGTGCTCTAAGACAAGAGAAGACAAGCTGACAAAGTGCTATTTGTACATCATTACCCTTTATAATTTTAAATTTGAGAAAATAATCTTTTTAGATTTTTTATGTTTAAAAAAACATATCTCTTACGTGTAAAAGTAAATCTCTCGTGTGTTAAAAAAAAAAAAAAAAAAAAAAAAAAAAGGCAAGATCATAATACTAAACACAAATTTGTAAAGAGCCACAAACCGAATTGACCCCATTGCTAAGCCCATATGTTTAACTATTTTCATAAATATTAAAGCCAAAAACGATATGTATTTATATATTTTCTTTTTTATATTTGTTCACTATATTAAGAATATATATTTTTAATTATATTTTTACATTTAGCAAATCAAGAGAAAAATAAAATATTTTTCATATATTACCATTATCATTAACTACTTATCCCTAAATTATTTTTCAAGATTTTGAAATATTGTCGTTATTATAAGTATATGATAAAATATGTACTTCATTCGTAATTTCTTAAAGACAGTGCAAAGTCCATTATGGTAAAATGAAAATAAACAGAGGGAGTATCAAGTAAGCTTAGCTCAAAAAAGAAACAAAAGAAATTCTGCATATCAACTCTATTCCTCCACATGTATACCTTGTATCCTTGCGAAGATTTGAATTTTCTTTTTGGCTCACTATTGTTAGCCTGTGAACAAGCAAGAAAATAAAATTTGATACTTGAGAAGTAAACATATTTAATCTCTTAATGAATCACTTTTTGGTAAGTCTCACTATAATTTGATGAATTTTTATAGCTTAGATTATATTGTTGGAACGTGAATTATTCAAGCTAAAGCTATTAATTAGTATAACATTATCTTACAACAGCCAATTGGACATCAAATGTTACATCTTCTGGTGGTGGAATATGTCTTTGTCTAATAAGATCTTCTTTGCTAATCCTTTTAATAGGAACTGTTCCAACGGGACAACCTTCACCGTTTAGCCATATTGTTGATAACCCTCTAGTTGTAGAGGTACCTGAATGCTGCTTTAACCTGTGTAAAGTAGGTTTCATCTGCCCATCCAAAATCAAGAAGATTATATGTCACAATTTTATATTTTTATACAAAAGTCCATGGCGAATTGAGATTAGAGACATGCCTCAGGATGAAAATGATGATTCCGCAGCAATGGATGATTAAATGCAGGTTGCTTGTAAAAATTCACACAATCGTATAAATCCCCATATGTAGTCTGCGTGCCAAAAAAAATCATAAAATAAATAATCTCTAATATAAAGATTGAATATCTTGCTGTCCGATTTATATCTTTTGAATACATAAAAACCAGAATAATAATTTATCAGTTTATCCATATTTAATTTGAGTTCCAACGGCCAAAAACGACTTTTATCAAACTAAATGTTTTGGCTTTATTAAAATGACGAATTTAATATAAACACTTAAAAAGTACTGTGATACAGAAGGTTCTTCATTTTAAATACAATATAGATTTTCAAAAAGGAAAAAAAGATAAAAGTTATCTAAGAAAGTTTAGTTTGATGTTTTTCGTGTTCACCACCAAAGAGGTATGCTGGGATGTTGATATCCTCCGCCCTTGACAAAAGATTAATTTAAGTTCGAGCATTGAAAATAAAAAAGATTTCCTACGGAGTACTTCGTCCATTAGTGGGCCCTACGTGGTATAAATCTGGACCAATCTAGACTATGGATTCTGAATACCAAATGGCTATCTTAGAACAGTAATACAATTATCACTTGAGAGAATAATTAGAACTACAATGGTTTTCAACCAAAATGTATACCTCTATTGTTTTGACGGCCGGCTTGTTCAAAAGTTCAAGTTGCTTTTCCAAATCCAAGTCCTCTAGTTCCGAATACCTCTTTTTTTCTCCTTGAACCCCATTATAGCTCAGAAGAAGAAAATATAGAACCATAAAAGTTTGTCGCATAACTTTTTGATTCATCACCATTGCCTGAATTCAAGAATTTATTTTTACATGTATTAATGCCAAAATATATACGTATGTACAACAAACTAATATTCAAAAAAAATAAATTTATTAACACAAGAAAAAATATACTAGACGAGCTAATTGCATATTAATACAACATGAAAGCAACAAATGATAGACTTACTTGATTCACTAGATGTATATATGAGAGATGAAGTTTGGAGCACTTATAATTACCTTGGTAGTATGAGTAAAATGATATATAAGGAGTACGTAGCAGTCTTTTTAATTAATGTAACTTTCTTGAGTACGATTACCAGAATCTACAGAAGATTTTATCTTAATGCATATTTGCTTACTTCTGAGTTCAATCCAAAAAGATAATATGTCCATAGATTAATTCAAATTAATGCATATTTGCTTACTTCTGAGTACAATCCAAAAAGATAATCTATCCATAGATTAGTCAAATTAACAAAAAGCACGTAGATTATATGTTAGTAAAGATGGTACAGTATGAAAAAAAATACAATCTGATATATCTATCTAGTTATTATAATATATTAAAAATACGGAGTTGTTTAGCAAAATATCGTTTGCTTCATTTATCCCTTACAAACATATTTCACATTAGACAAAATCGTAATTTAATTATTCTCATAATATTTAGAATTTTAAATTCAACTAAAATTTGTTTATTAAATCTTTCCTTATTTGATAAAAACTCCTAAAATTTAAACTTTTTCTAGATCTTTATACTAAAAGAAAATATTACTCCAACATTTAGAACATAACTAATATTACTCAAAAGCGACGACTTGTCCACTGTCACGACCCAAATTTTTACCTATCGTGATGGCGCCTAATATGACACTAGGCAAGCCGATGTTTCCAAAATATTCCTAACATTTAACAAAAAGGGTCAAAATAAGTTTTAAATGACAAAAACTCTCATAAACGGGGTAAAAACCGAAAACACAAATGACGCAAAATAACTCCCAAATCGGGGTGTCACTGAGCCCATGAGCATCTATACATCACAAGTCTAGAAAAGAAATATCTATGAAAGTCTGGATCTAAATACAAATAAAGAAAAGATAAGGAAGGAGAAACAAGGACTGCGAACGCCAGGCAGTCCTTGTTGCCGGGGAGCTAAAAACGGATTTAGCTATATATTTGGTTTTGTGTGTTAATTGTCTTCTATTCCTTCCATGTTGCTAATCTTTTGTGTGAAAAAATTGCAGGTGAAACAATGACTCTCAACAACAATGATCCTCTTGGAAACATGACTATGGGTGATGCAGACGTGGATGATAATCAAGTTGAAGAGGTTCCTTTTGAACCACAAGCAAATAGACGAGGCTGACCGCCTCAAGGCAACGTTCCCGTTCCACCCCCACCTCCACAAAGAGCGACTCCACACCGGGTGTTGCCGAATGAAGGGTATGTGGTAGAATGTGGGTCCACCAACTTCTATAGAGAATCAGGTTCTCTATCAGGTTCAACAGTACACACACATAGAATAGAAGTTAAATGACAAGAGGAATTTTACGTGGAAAATCCCAGCTCAACACGATTAAAAACCACGACCTACCCATATAGGATTTCAACTTCATTACTAAGCAACTTTCAGATTACAGCCTATGCAACCTAGGAATTATACTCATAATCCCTCACTAACTTGTAATACACCTATTACAAGCCACTTTGCAATAACTCTATTACAAACACTTTAAAACTTGACTAACTCTAGCCAAGACTTAAACACGCAGGTTTAAGGTTTAAAAAGTTGTTCCTATAAAGTGCTTCTAAATAAGATGGATAGGAATTACAATTTTAAGAACTATTACAGAGTTACAACTCAACTAAGGACACATAATAACTCGATGTGGAAACTGGTCCGTAGTTGTTTTGTTCTTTGTTCTTGAGGCACTTGAAACTTGCTACCTGCACAGTCACGTAAATGAGCGTGTGTGAGATCTCTAAGTGTTCAAGTGATTTGTTTTACCTCCCTTACATGCATAAATACATGTGTAACATCACTTACTATGATGCAAGCAAAGCAGGTAAAAAGTCTTCCCTGTAAAGTTGATTGTAGCATTGTTCCCACACTGTAGCATTTGCAGGCAGCAACTTTGAGTCGTGCCATCACGATACCTAACAGAGGAAAAAATTGGGTCGTAATAGATTCAATAAGATTGAAATGAGTGAGATTCATAGATTTGATGTTGTTTGATGTGATTTATGCCCTCAAATAGGTTCATGTTATGTTTTCGAACTTCATGGTATGTTTAGACGGGGTCCAGGGGCCCTCGAGTGTGGTTAATATCAAATTTGTATCCATTTTGGCCTTAGGAAGATTGATGTTGAAAAACTAAGTTCTGGCGTCATTGCACCTGTGGTGGGCTTGGCCGCAGATGTAAATGGAGCTTGCAGAAGTGAAGGGATGCTGGCCAGGGGAAAGTCGCAAGTGCAAACACATGTGCGCATGCGTAGAAGTGATGACCTTGTCCGTTGTCACGACCCAAATCATTACCTGTCGTGATGGCGCCTAGTATGGCACTAGGCAAGCCGATGTTTCCAAAATATTTCCAATATTTAACAAAAAGAGTCAAAATAAGTTTTAAATGATAAAAACTATTATAAACGGGGTAAAAACCCAAAACACAAATGCGAAAAAATAACTCCCAAATCGGGGTGTCACTAAGCCCATGAACATCTATACATCACAAGTCTAGAAAAGAAATATCTATGAAAGTCTAGATCTAAATACAAATAAAGAAAAGATAAGGAATGAGAAACAAGGATTGCGAATGCCACGCAGTCCTTGTTACCGGGGAGCTAAAAATGGATTTAGCTATATATTTGATTTTGTGTGTGAATTGTCTTCTATTCCTTCCGTGTCACTAATCTTTTGTGTGAAAAATTTTTAAGTGAAACAATGGATCTCAACAACAATGATCCTCTTGGAAACATGCCTATGGGTGATGCGGGCGTGGAAGATAAGCAAGTTGAAGAGGTTCCTCTTGAACCACAAGCAAATAGACGAGGTCGATCGCCTCAAGACAACGTTCCCATTCCAGCCCCACCTCCACAAAGAGCGGCTCCATACCGGGTGTTGCCGAATGAAGGGTATGTGATAGAATATGTGGGTCCACCAACTTCTATAGAGAACCAGGTTCTCTAACAGGTTTAACAGTACACACACATAGAATAGAAGTTAAACGATAAGAGGAATTTTATGTGGAAAATCCCATCTCAACAGGATTAAAAACCACGACCTACCCTTATAGGATTTCAACTTCACTACTAAGTAACTTTCAGATTATAACCTATGCAACCTAGGAATAATACTCATAATCCCTTACTAACTTGTAATACACCTATTACAAGTCATTTTGCAATATAACTCTATTACAAAAACTTTAAAACTTGACTAACTCTAGCCAAGACTTATACACACAGGTTTAAGGTTTACAACGTTGTTCCTATAAAGTGCTTCTAAATAAGCTGAATAGGAATTACAATTTGAAGAACTATTATAAAGTTACAACTCAACTAAGGACACACAATAACTCGATATGGGAACTGGTCCGTAGTTGTTTTGTTCTTTGTTCTTGAGGCACTTGAAACTTGCTAGCTGTATAGTCACGTAAATGAGCTTGTGTGAGATATCTAAGTTTTCAAGTGATTTGTTTTACCTCCCTTGCATGCATATATACATGTGTGACATCACTTACTATGATGCAAGCAAGGTAGGTAAAAATTCTTTCTTGTAAAGTTGATTGTAGCACTGTTCCCACATTGTAGCGTGTGCAGGCAACAACTTTGAGTTGTGGCATCACGATACCTAACAAAGGAAAAATTGGGTCGTGATAGATTCAATAGGCTTGAAATGAGTGAGATTCGTAGATTTAATGTTGTTTGATGTGATTTATGCCCTAAAAATGGATCATGTTATGTTTTGGAACTTCATGGTATGTTTGGACGGTGTCCCGGAGCCCCCCGAGTGTGGATCAGATCAAATTTGGATCCATTTTGGCCTTAGGAAGATTGATGTTGAAAAACTAAGTTTGGGTGTCATAGCAACTGCAGTGGGCTTGGCCACAGGTGCAAACAGAGCTTGTAGAAGTGAAGGGATGCTGGCCAGGGGAAAGTCGCAGGTGCGAACACCTAGGTGCAGGTGCGCATGCGCAAAAGCAGTGATTTGTCCACTGTCACGACCCAAATCTTTACCTATAATGATAGCTCCTAATGTGGCACTAGGCAAGCCGATGTTTGATAACTAGGGATTTCGATACATTTTATACTCCTTCATGCTTAAGTTTTGATTAGAAATATATACAAAATAGTCCCAAAAGGCTCACAAGTTGTACTTGATTGCAGGTTTGATCAACAAGGTGACAAGATGTCAAGGATCAGCTCAAAAAGGAGTGAAACTTGCACAAGTACCAAGAAAAGACAAAGCTCAGGCAAAACAGGGCTAGTGCAGCCGCACACCATTCTGTGTGGTCCGCACAAGTGAAGTTCAGAGAGGCTGCTATTTAAGCACAAAGGCAATGCGGCTTCAAGGGGTTTTGTGCGGTCCGCATTGGGATCAATGTGACCGCACTCGATTTAGTGCGGTCCGCAGAGCCAAGGTTCAGAGAGATGTCAGTTCCAAGTTTGAAGGCCAATGCGGTCCGCACTCCATTTCATACGGACCGCACTAGAAGCCACCGCAGCCACACTCGATTATGTGCGGTCCGTATTGCGCAATTTCAGAGAGCCGTTTATTCAAGTTCAGAGCCCTAGTGTGGCTGCACGTGATTTTGTGCGGTCCGCACTAACCCAGTAGGGTTATTTTTGTCCATATTTTTTAGCTTAGTATAAATAGCTTCTTTTCCCATTTTTAGGTTATCAGATAGTTTGTACTGAAGTTTGCGCTCGTGACTTCGATATTTTTAGCTATTTTGAGTAATTTTAGCTTTATTTCAACATTAAATCTTCAAGTTTAATTTAGCAATTAATTAATATGA